CCTCTGTGAAGGGGTCGTTCGAGTCCCAAAGGAGCGACAGCCCACAAGTTGAGAACCACTACTTGAAAAGCCTCACATTAGCAGCCATTTCTAAAAGTACATTTCCTCTAATGTACAGTGCGATAGAAAGGAAACGAAAGGAATAGAAATAGAAAGGAGAGGCGAGATCCGGCCGACTGTGGTTTACTCAAATCTCGGCTTGACTCAGGAGCTATGTGATACTGAGCCAACTAAGCAGCATCATTTGAGCCTTCAGCTCCTTTTTTATGGATTAAATACATTTAACAATTCATGTATTTGCAATGCTCCTAGTAATTTGCCTAACAGAATTAATGACCACGCATTGTTCATTTCCATCCATCTCTAGTCTCTAATCACTAAAGATGGAACTAATTGAATCATAAACCCAACTGTAATTCATTTCTCTTTTCCTCATTAAATATTTGAGTGCTTTTAAATACTGCCTTGTGTCAGTTCGGGTAGGCATAGGACCCAGACACAATAGTGATACCCATGGATCTTGCTTTTAAGGTTCAGGAAGAGCAGGAAATGACGGGCATGTAAATTATTAAATGGTTATATTATGGAGTAAAATCCTAGTGTAAAATATTATGAGAACCCACAGGGAAGGGGATTATTACTAATCCACAGAAGAGTGGCCACGGCCTTGGGGAAGCAAAGGCTTGAGCTGGTTCTTAAAGACAGGGTCCCAGAAGGGAAGCAGCCGGTTAAGAGAACACAAACACATGGTTCAGCCTGATGCAGATATGAAGGTCATGATGATGGTACATAATTTTGGAGAAAGAAAATTTGGGTTAGATACTGAAGGTTTTGAAAGAGCTACAGGGAGCTTGTACCTGATGCAGTGAGGTTCCATAAAGGTTCTCAAAGGTTTTTGAGGTGTTTGGTTTTGAGACAAAATCTTACTGCATAGCCAAAGCTGGTGTCAAACTCATTAGTCCCAAGTGCTGGGTTAGCCTGTGCCTCCATACTCAGCATGGTGGGTTTTGAAACTATGGGGTTTTGAAATAATTATTTTTTAAAATTATTTTTATTATTTTTTAATTATATGTATATGTCTGTGCACATGAATGGAGATGCCCATGGAAGACAGAGGGCTCATATGCCCCTGGAATTGGAGATGGCTGTGAGCTGCCTGATGTGAGTGCTGGAAACTGAACTCAGATCTTCTGGAAGAGAAGTACCCATCTCTCTAGCTCCTGAAATGATTCTTCTATCAGACATGTTGGCTGTTCCTTCTAAACTCAGGTTCCTCCACTGTTACACGTGCATGTCACCTAGGTCTTCCTTCAAGTTGCTACGAGGCTGAACGGGCCACTGAGCGAGGGGAATCCAGCAGTACACCTAGGGAAACCCCTCCATCAGATTGGTGGTTCAGCCCCTACAGCTTAACTTCCCACTCTTAGAGCAATTCGTTGTGTTGTGTGGTCACCAGCTAAACTTTCTGTCTAATTTATAGAACCATGCTGAGAACTCTGTCAAAGGCCCTCCTGAAAGAGTGCTACACCCCTCTCCCTGATTCCAGTAAAGAAAAACTGGGCACTTCCTAGTTTCAACCAGTGAGCGCTAGGATTCCAGCAGGAAACCACAGCAAGACACAGCTTTTAGGAGACTTTCGGTTTCTCGAGGTCAAGAAAGGCAGAGGAGGATCTGAAGATCCAGACTTGATCCTGGAGAGCTTCATAAGGGCGGTGCTGCGTTGCACAAGTTCTGATGTCTAGCAAAGCACTTTCTTCCCCCGTCTTAGGCAGCTAGGACATTGTCCCGAGACAGCATGCGAGCAATTAACTCCCCCCGGCTTATGGGGCATCCTTAGACTCTGTAGTAGCAACCACAACCCTTTCAGGGGCTTGGCTAAGACTGGTTTACTGTGTAGTTCCACGAGTGTAGAGTTCTCCAGAGGGCACATGTGTGTGGTGTAATACCTTAAATGCAGAAACAGAATGAGAACCCATGTCTTCTACTTAAGCTAGGCAATAAGGAGATTTTCTGAACGGAAAAAGGAGAGAGGGGGGAGGGGGGGAGTGAGAGAGCGAGCGAGAGAGAGAGAGACAGAGACAGAGACAGAGACAGAGAGACAGAGAGAGAGAGAGGGGCCTTTTCTGATTTTTGAAGAAGTCTTACCAACGGTTACTTTTCATTTTGTTTTGGTTTTTGAGACAAGGTCTCTCTCCGTAGCCTAGGCTGGCTGAACTTCACAACTGTCACCTTGCCTTAGCCGTCCAGATGCTGGGGTTACTGTTGTGAACCCCCACACCTGGCGGCTCTTCATTAAAGTCCGTTATCTAGGGGCCAAAAGATGGCAGCACATCAAGGTGTTCATTACTAACCCGTAGTGATGCAGACGTCACTTCCGACTTTAAGGCAATGACTATACTCACGGCCTAGGATGCTTGGTTGCATGCCTGTCCCGCAGCTGAAGCACTGGCCTTTGGAGACAAGGTGGGTAACTCTGAGATGTGACGCTGTGGTCCAGACATCAGGGTTTCTCAGTCTGAGATGAAGGGCGGAGATGGCTGGAGAAAATGCCCCAGAAGAGCCTGCGCTGCAGCTGTTGGCACTCCCGGGGGAGGCGGGCATAAGGACATAAGGATGGCTTCCTTGCTCTTCCTCTGGCAGCTAGTGGCACTTCCAGGACTTCTGTTAAAGGGCAGTTTAGGGGAAACAATCTCCCTGAATAAGGGGTTAGGTAATATTTTTGTTCGAGTATATTTAAAACATACACACACTTAGAATGCATGCTGATTTTTGAGGGTGTTCTTGGTTGTAAGAGGGTGCTAAGGACTTCTGAACAATATCACTGCTGAGAATACATCTATTTTTTTGTGTGTGTGCAGAAGCCTTTGAAATGAAAGAATAACAAGGTTTGATCGAGTTTTGACCAGAACTGTTTTGCTATTGCCGTTTACATTTGTAAATCTATATTCTGCCCAGTGAGGATTAGCCAAAAAAATCAACTTGCCAAAAGATTTTTTTTAAAAGTTTGAAACAGCCGAATAAGTGATAGGAAAAACTGTAATAATAGTCATCAGCTCTGGGATCTTAAGAGAGCAACATAGTCACAAGTAAACAGGCAGTTGGGAGAATCAAAGGTTGTGGCCATGGGGCTGGAAAGATGGCTTGGAGGGTAAGAGCACTGCTGCTCTTGCAATGGGCCTTGGTTCAATTCCCAGTACCTACATGAAGGCTCCCAACAATCTATAACTCTAATCCCACTGAACCTGACCTCCTCTTCTGTAGGCACCGCTGTAGGCACCAGGCACACATATGGTGCACATATACACATGCAGGCAAAACACTCATCCACACAAAATAGAAGTAACTCTTAAAAAGAGGTTGAGGCAGGCAGTTGATCACAGAATCTCTGTGCTTTTATCACAGTCATGGTCCTGCTCAATAGGATACAAGGTATGGCCTCAAGAAACTTGCAACCTAAACTGGATGTCTGAGATGCTCCGTCTAGTGTGGTTTCAAAACTATCTTGTAGCGTCTATTGTTCCTGCAGCCTAATTACAGAGGGGAAATAGAATGAATGAAAAGTGGGTGAGGTGGAGGGATGATTGGGTTCAACTATGGCGGCTTATGCTAGGAGCTACATGCTCCCAGTAATGCATGTCTGGCTGGCTGGTAGTCGAGCTGGAGCCTAACACCTCATTCTGGTAAGGAAGAAACCGAGATCTGTCCAGCCACGTGTCCCACCTGATAACCCAGAGGACCAGCAGCAACGCCAGGTTCTCTGACTCCCATGCTAGAGTCACGACGCAATCCAGCACCTTTAATAAAGCTAAGGTAGGTGCCAGTGTCTTTTCATGCTCACCGTGCCCTGAAGAGCCAGCCCATCATCCTTTTTTTTTTTTTTTTTTTTTTTT